GCCTATGCAGGTCCACGTCGACGTATAGGCATTCGGTATTTTTAAGATTTTAACAGAATTTTTAACGAATTTTATTTTTTTTGGAAATTTGTACCATATGGTGGAGGGTATTAAAAGTTTTTAGTACATAATCAAGCATCAAGCATATGGCTCACACATCAACCAAAGCTGAAAAACCTTTTGGAAAGTATAAAATTTTGTTGATATAAATTCGGAGTCGTTTCAGGACATTTTGAATCAATCTAGAGGTGTCCGTCTGTCTGTCTGGCTGGCAGGTGCGCACGAAGATAGTATCCAATTTGTTTCAAACTTGGTACATCCCCCACAAAAGGTCAACATTTTCATAGAAAACAATTTACCAATTAGAAAAGAAAGCAACATCCAATTTTGTTCAAATTTTACAAATCCCAATTTTTTTTTGTGCTAGGTCAGGTGCGAAAATGGACAAAATCGGCCCATTCCACAAAGGGTCGAAATTTGGAATAAATATAACTTTTATAAATTCAAATTTCACATATTCCAATATTTTTGGTGAAAAGGTGGGATTCATTGGTCAACTCCTTCTTGTACCTTCCCACAACGGGTAAACATTTTAAAGTTCATGGCTCGTAAAACGCAAAATTAGCACCCGATAACTTCCAAACTCGGCACATCAGGTAAAATATATCGGATCACTACTTCCAGGACCTCCCCCAAAACGAGTAAAAAATTCTGAATAATTATATCTCTCATAAAATGCGAATTGAGCATCCAATTCCCTTCAAATTTCATGTATCCCAATATTTTTTCTAACACAAGATCTGGTGTGAAGATAGAATATATCGGCTCACCCCTACTGGTACCTCCACCACAAAGGGGTCAAAATTTTGAGAAACAATCAAGCTCGTCAAACACGAAATGAGCATCCAATTTTTAAACTCAACAGATCCAAAAATCTCTACTAATACAAAACCAGGTGTGAATATAGAATATATCGAATAACCCTTTCTAGTATCTCCACCACAAAGGGGGTCAAATTTGGAATAATTATAACTCTCATAAAATGCGAAGTAAGTATCCGATTCTTTTCAAATTTCACACATCCCAATATTATTACTAACACAAGTTCCGGTGTGAAAATATCGGCCTACCACTTCTGGTACCTCTCTCACAAAGGTTCACAACTTTCAATACTTAAATCTCTCATAACTTGCGAAAAAAGTCAGCAATTCTTTACAACAAAATATTTCCGTATCTAAATCTGTATTGAAATATTTCTCTCAACCAGAAATCTGATATGAATGTGGAATTTAACGGAATTTATGATTTCGTATAAAATTGGATATAAATGTTCGATTTTCTTGTAATTTTGCCCATATATAAGTATATGTGGTACCTCATGCACATTTCAACATTTTCTAACAAATTTCATATTTAGCGAAGGAGGTAGTCGATATAGTCCAAACCTGCTGCGTCTCAATCTTTAGATCGTATTTATTCAGGTCCGATACAAAATTGACAATATTGGCCCGTTGATTCGAAACCTATTCCATAGAGGGTCAACAATTTGAATAATCATAACAGAAGTCAAAATATATTTAAATAATCGAACATTGGCCGGAGGGTATACATCTGTCGACGAAACTGACTGACCTGTACTTTATTTACAATAAAGCATATATTGCTCGATTGAGATGAAATTTTTCAAAAACCCGAACCCTATATCAGTTGGTGATAATCGGTCCATGTTTAGATATGGCTCCCACATATAAATTCGACCGATTCCGGGTTTGTTGTGCACCAAATGAGTAATATTAGGTCAAATTGAATAGAATTTGGTATATATGACCAAACTATGCCTAGGAACAAGTATGTCAAATTTAGTGGAAATCGGTTCAGATATAGCTATAGCTCCCATACACATTGTTTATCCGATTTATTAAATTTGTCCTCCACAGCCATTATATGAACTCCGTAACAACGATATTCGGGGGAAATATATCAAATATAGCTCAGAAATATCTTTGCCAAGTGTTATCGAAAAAGGTTCAGATCTGGGTATAACACACATACATATATTTATGCCATTCGATGTCTATTGTGCACCAAATGGTTATTATCATCCCAAATGGATTTTGGCAAATATTACCGAATTCGACCTTGAAGCAAGCACTTTTAATTTAGTGAAAATCGGTGAAAATATAGCTATAGCTTCCATATATAAGTTTCAAGCGATTTTGTGTTTTAATACCTTACAGTCGTAATATGATATTCCGAAAGATTGATATTTCGTTACCAAGATCGATTTAGATTTGGATATAGCTTCCATACATATCTTTATCCGATTTTACGAATTTTTAAACATTTGACCGAATTAATACATTTGGTGAAACTTCGTTTCGATATATCTATTACTCGGATATATATTTTAATACCCTTCACCATAGTATGGAGGGTATATTAAGCTCGTCATTACGTTTGTAACACCTCTAAATATAGTTTTTAGACCCCACAAAGTGATCGAGAATATCAGCATGAAATTCTATGCCGATTTAGCGATGTCCGTCCGTCTATCCGTCTGTGAAAATCACTCTAACTTCCGAACGAAAAGAAGTAGGTTTAAAAAAATTTACTCAGACGTGTGTTAGTTCTGCAGGACTTTTGGAATTTAAAATCGGCTATATAGGTCCACGTTTTGATATACCCCATATAGCTGTACCGACAAATTTTGGGTGTTCTGGTCACAATTTGGCAGCATGTGTTCCCTGTTGTGCTTGCATAGAACTGTCAATGTGGGTCTAAGTTTTGTATAGTCCCCATATAAATGTACCCCCACATATTCGGTATTTTGCTGATTTTTGTCACACTTGGCACCGGATACGTTTAACATTTGGAATTTAAAGTTCCTAATAAGTACTACATCCTATGACAGAAAATTGCTAGTAGAGGTCCATATCTTCGTATATAACTGTACCTCCCTATATTCGGTATTTGATCATTTTAGTGGCATTATAAACTGAAATTGTTTTAAATTTTATATTGTAAATTCCTAATGGGTTCTTCCATCTGTATCCGAAAAATGACTATGCAGGTCCAGATCTTTATTATATCCTACATCACAAGGTGGTCAGGGTATTTTGTCTTTGTTCATTTGTTTGTAACAGGCAAAAGGAAACGAGATAGACCCATAGTTCCTTTTGATGATCTGCATAGAATCACATTCCGAGTTGATTTATGCATGTCCGCCTGTCCATGTGTATTTGTCAACAAAGTACAGTTCGCATTTATTGCCCTATCCAGATGAAATTTTGCACAAATCATTTGTTTGACACAAGGACGAACCCTATTGAAATTGGAGATAATCGGTCAAAATTTAGATATAGCTCCCATATATATCTTCGTCCGATTTGCCTTTTATTGTGCACCAAACGTGTAATATCAGCCCGAATAGTATGGAATTTAGGGCAAACAACCAAATTAGGCCTGAAAATAAGTATGCCAAATTTGATCGAAATCGGTTCAGATATAGCTATAGCTCCCATATATATTATTCATCCGATTTGTTAATTTAGTCCTCCGCAGCCGTAATATGCACTCTGTAACAACAATATTTGGGGAAATATATCAAATACAGCTCAGAAATACCTTTGCTAAAGTTTATCGAGATCGGTTCGGATTTGGATATATTTCCCACATATAACTTCGTCCTATTTACCTTTTATCGTACACCAAGCGTCTAATATTTGCCCAAATGGGATGAAATTTGGCACTTACTACCGAATTGAGTCTAGAAGCTAGTATGTCAAATTTGGTGAAGATCGGTTCAGATATAGCTATAGCTTCCATATATATTGTTCATCCGATTTGTTATATTTGTTACCCACAACCGTAATATGCACTCCGTAACAACGATATTCAGGGAAATATATCAAATACAGCTCAGAAATATATTTGCCAAATTTTATCAAGATCGGTTGAGATTTGGATATAGCTCTCATATATATCAAATGGGCAATACAAGTCCGAATTTAAAAGATACAAATGCTTTGGCATACTTTGTCCTTTGAATTTTAAATTATAATTATAATCATAGGGTGTATGATTGAATTCTCCCATAAAAACTATTAATTGTTATGTGGAGCTCTACTAAATTAGCAAATTGGTGTAGGGTATCATAAAGTTGGCCCGCCCGACTTTCTTTACTGTTTTTTTTGAAAATTTGCGAAATTCCTTCCAAATGATGGAGGGTATTCAAAATTCGGCGTGGCCAAACTTACTGTTTATTCACTTGTTTTATATAAGCTATCTCGAAGTAGTATGGCTCTACTATATATGCATAGTGATGTAGGGTATTATATAGTTGGCCCCGTCCAACTTTACTTTACTGGTTATTTATGTAGAGTACAGAGTCCAACGTATGCTGGCATTTCAACTCAACGGAATCAAAGGGAATTTTATTTCAAAAAATATATTTCAATCCCCCAAACCATACAGGAACTTTTCAAAGATTTTCAAACTGAAGCTACTAGTTTGTCACATAACTTGTCATGCTTAGACGGATTTGCTAAGATGAAGAATATTCGGACCTCTCAGCGGGTTATTTTAGCCTAAATATTGTATTACTTAAAAGTCAAAAGACATTCCGCTGTGATCCTTTCTTCTCTTATTTTCGAATTCCTACTCTGTCGGCTTCTAACAATTTAAATTGTTTCACAACCCTAATAGCTTTGAAAGCTCTCTAACAAAACAGATGCCTATTTATTGCGAGTGAAAAAGTTTAACCCCTAGGCAGTTCACATCATTATAAAAAATTAATGTTTCTTCTTCAAAAACATTTATTTGAAAAAGAAAAAACAAAAAAATTCTACAAAAAGAACAAACTTTGTATTCCCCTAACAGAACGCATAAATATCTATGAATTTCAAACATGACGATGCTCTTCGCATTGTAAAAAAATAAACTTCTTGCCGAACTCATTATAACTCACATATATTCATTTCATTTCCTACCATTTCACTTACCTCTTGGTCATTGTGTTGGAGTAGAGGAGACAGGGCGCCGACAGGATACAGCTTAAAATCCATATTAATGCCAATATTATGCGTACTTTACGCCTTGACGTCCGGCGCTTCAGTGGATGCACAATGGCTATGTATCTGCAAAACAGAAGCAAAAGAAGAAGCAAGCATGAGAACGAAGAAGTGGGGAAGATAAATGGTTATGTTTTCTGGAATGGAGGTGGTCCAATGATTTATTATTGAAACTCAGTGGGGCAACCGAACTGAACACCGCCGAATCAATAAAGAGAGAAAACTCCATAAATTCACCGCAAAATATGACATGAGTCGGTAGTTTTTGGCCAGCACGTGTGTGCATGAGGGAGTGCCCGAACTGTCAGTGTGGGTATTAAAGTGTCGATGGTGGAAACTTCATTGAAAAGTTTGTTTTCACAGGTGTTGCACGGTAGTGTGGAGTCATGTGGAACAATTTTCGAAAGTTTCCAATTGAAAAGTTTTCGCTCGCGAAAAAAAAATTATGACGAGGAGAAAAAATGATTATTGTTGTTGGTAAAGGTTGTTTCGCTAACGAAGGGGATACATTTTTTTCTTAGCTTATATTTTCAGTGAAGTCCAGTCAGTTATTTAGTTTTTCTATATGATTTTTACCCTCGCTCTCTTCATCCACTAGCCTCTAGGATAGTTTGGTTTTCAATACATAGTTTGAAGTAGGTTTCCAGAAAATATATGGGAGTTGCACAGTAACGTACCCAGAAGTGTGTGTTCGAAACTATTTCGGGGGTGGTGTAATACGTTATCATAAAAAAATTAAACTTTTTCAAATAAATGTCAGAAAATTTCTATTTCGTAATGGACCCCCACTATGCTTACGGTTCTGGAGCTGCATGGGTAGAACAAAATATTATAAGGCAATGTAAACATAAATAACCTCCTGCATTATCAGAATTTGAAAATTAAAGGGTTATACTTAAAAAAACTACGGGACATAAGAGCTTATCTTCCTTATTAACCATGTAATGAGTAAGGTCGGCACAAAGTATTTGTGGTCGACTGAAAAACCGAAGATTTCGTGTCGGCGATGGAGAAAGAAAATACGGTGAGTTGTTGCTGTAGGACTTTAAACGACCAATGTATAGTGTGGTTAACTTGAAACCATAAAATTCAAAAAGTTCAATATCAGCAGCGTACAAAACAAAATAGGGGAATAGTGATTCAAAAAATAACGTGCCGAACTTTGAATACCATTTGGGACGTATTAAGAAATTTTCAAAAAAAAAAAAAAAAAAAATAAATAAAATCCATTAAAAATTTTTTAAAATCTTAAAAATACCGAATATCGGAAGGTGCCGATACATGGGGAATATACGATATGTGGACCTATATAGAAAATTCTCTTTCAGGGGGTAAAGTACTCACAAAGAACTCCTTGTGTAGAATTTCAGACAATTCCATTGAAAAGTGTGGCTAAAATCAAAATACCGAATACAGGGAGGTACCGTTATATTGGGGATATACGATATAGTGGACCTATGTAGACGATTCTCTTTCAGGGGGTAAAGTGCTCATAAAGAACTCTTTGTGTGAATTTTCAGACAATTCCGTTGAAAAAAGTGGCTAAAATTATCAAAATACAGAATATCGGGGGTACCGTTGTATAGGGTATATATCATATCGGGTATATACCATATCGTGGACCCACACGGAACTCCTTGTGTGAATTTTTAGACGATTCCGTTGAAGATGTGGCTCAAATTATCGAAATACGGAATATCGGGGGTGGGTACCGTTATATAGGGGATATACGATATCGTGGACCTGTCAGGGTCCATATATCAAATTTCAAAATTTCAGCTCTATCCTAAGACTCAATTCATGCCATATTCTTGTACATTTCTCTCCAACCTAGGCGCCAATAGTGACTTCGATACCAAATTTCAGAATTCCATCTCTACCCCAACAACCAACGGAACATTTTGTGAAATTTTGCACTCTTGGTACAGTTATACTACGCGTCTCCAAAAACCAATAGGGACATCCATAAAAAAATTCAAGATTTCAGCTCACCCAACACGAAGTTTAGTAGCAAAACGAAAGCAAAAAATGACGGAAATAGCATCAAATTTTAGAACAAGTTTAGATTTGTTCGAAATGGTCACCATTGGCACGAATTATGGCCTTCAAACGGCCAATGAAACCGTCACACGCTGCTCGAATGTTGCTCTGCGATATTGTGGCCCATTCCCGGCGAAGCGATTGCTTAAGTTGATTGACACTTTGGTATTTTTTAATGCTAACCTTGCTTTCTAAAATACTCTAAACACAATAGTCCAACGGATTGGTATCCGTAGATTTTGGTAGCTATTGTGCGCTGGAAATCTTGCGAGGAACCTAATTTTATAACCATTCTTGGGCTGCGCGTGCTGAGTGCTATGGTGCTGAGCCCTGTTGGAATGTCCAAGGTCTGCGGCCAAAATATTGAAGTGTCCCTTCAGAATATTTTCGCGAAAAAATTCGGCATTTATTCTGATACCACGGTCGATTAATACGAGAACGACTATTGGCTGTTATGGCGATCCACATCATCACCATGGCCGGCGCTTGGGTTCTGGTGGTCAACCGAAGGTGCACATTTTCAGCTGACCTCTTTGGCAAGTAAACACGATCATTTTGTTTGTTTACAAACTGCCGGATAACAAATATTTTCTCATCGGAGAAACCCAAATTCGGCAGTTCACCACTTTCGGCCAAGCGAAGCAACTCTTTAGCTCTTTTGAGTCTATTTTCTTTCTGTTGCGGTGTAAGTTCTTGCACTTTTTGGAATTTTGAAATTTCAATGGCTTTACCCCGAGCTCATTTTTCAATATTTGCAAGTGGAATATTGCAAATATTGCGCTACCACGGTAACGAGCGATGGTACGAGACACAATAGATTTGTTCACATTTAAATGCTGGAGTGCTCTAACGATATTTACTTGTGGTTTTCCAGCCAAATATAAAGAAAGTACACTATCACGCTTGAATTCCATCACGAATACCTTTTTTTCTGGACAATTCTCACCAAAATGCTTTTGTACGCTTGTAAACAATATAATGAGCTGTCACTGGAATAATTTTAACAGCTGTCGGACGAGTGGTTTAGAAATGACAGCAGTCTGAAGTTGGTTGCAGTTTTTTCATCTCACCCTGTATATATCAGCCCTCGATGCCATCCATACATTATCAAAGGCTTCAGAAAAATCAAGCTTTATTGGAGTAGGGTCTTGTCTATTGTTGAAACGTGAAACCAGAAGTGTGTGTTCGAAACAATTTCGGGGGTGGTGTAATACGTAATCAAAACAAAATTAACTTTTCCAAATAAATGAAACCAGTAAGGACATGTACAGTGGATTGGCCTTTCCTGAGCCCAAACTGCCCTAAATGAGTTTGTTTAGTCTCTCCAAAACGAAGGTCTCGAATTTCTTTACAAAAATCCGTTAAAAGTGCTATCGGCCTAAATATACGGAAAACTACACAATCTCTTACGATGCCCTGAGAAAATATCCTTGGTTCAGACAGAGTTGTAAACTTAGATTAATAAAGCTACTTACACATTGACGAGACTGTCAACGAACATTACATTATCATTCGACATTCGACATCGACATTAACCAGTATGAATATAGCGAATCCCCAATTACTTACAAGTCACCCATGCATCACAATTCTTCAAAATTCTTCACATCGCCAAACATCAGAATATTAACACATTGTAAGTCCAGAAAACAAATCTTTAACAACTCGAAGTTAAAAAAAAAAAAAACACACACACAGAAAATCTACGATTATTGCGATGTTGAACTTAGAAAAATATTTTCCTCTCCACACCACTGTACCACGTCAATAGGCAACCAACAAGTCATCATAAATTATTAAAAAAAAACAAAAAAAAAATGATATAAAAGCAAGTTAAAAGCCGTAGTTATACTCACCTATCGAAGGATATTGCCACCAGGGTGAAGACGGATGTCGACACCGTTACATTTGCCATAAAATTATTGATGGTGCAATAAATTGTGCCAAATGGCCAGTCCGAGTTCAACATGAAAATGAAATTGAAAATACAATTCAGCGATGACATGAGCAAATCGGCAATGCTCAGATTCAACAGAAAGTAATTTGTTGCCGTTCTCATGCTACGATGACCTGCAAAAGAGAGATAGAGAGAGAAGCAAAATGGAACAAAGATTAGTACACAAAGAAGGACACGTTTTATACCCTCCACCATAGTATGGAGGGTATATTAAGTTTGTCATTCCGTTTGTAACACCTCGAAATATACATTTTAGACCCCACAAAGTATACATATTCTTGAACAGCATAAAATTCTACGTCGATTTGGGTCCATGTAGGTCCATGTCTTCGTATAGCCCCCATATAACGGTACCTCCCTATATTCGGTATTTTGATGATTTTAGCGGCATTATTTACCGGAATTATTTAAAATTTTGTATTTGAAGTTTGAAATGAATACTACAACCTATGACATAACATTGTCTGTGCAGGTCCACGTTTTATAACCTCCATGGTACCTCCCTATATTCGGTATTTTGATGATTTTAGCTACATTATAAACAGATTTTTTTTCAAGTTTCGCATTTGGATATTGGAATAGCTTGTGACATAAGTTGCCTATGTAGGTCCACGTCGTCGCATAGACCCTAATATTTACTTTCGGTATTTTTAAGATTTTAACAGAATTTTTAACGGATTTTTTTGCCAAATTTGTACCAAATGGTGAAGGGTATTCAAAGTTTGGCCTGGCCGAACTTACAGCTTTTTTTCTTGTTTTATTCTCAAAGAAGGCTTTGTTTGTTTGATGACTGACTGCCTGGCTTGTGGTGGGCTATTGTTGGAGGGAATTCAAAAGAATCGCATTCCTTTTTGAATGACAAACAACCAACAAATGGCAAAAATATGCAAAAGGATCAGAATGGCTTTTCTTCCATCACCAACATTAGTGCGATGAAGGTACACCGGGAAGGGGAGGAAAGGTAAAAACGATTTTGTTAGGACAAAATGAGAAAATGTCTTTTCTTGTTTGCTTCAGTTTCCAAGAATTGCGACAAATACAAATTGTTCGACATGACCTGCAGCAAAACATCTAATCACATTATTGAATTATCCTTCATGTACTCCCATTTGCCCTCTCTTCATTTTTCACATTAATCAGCAGAATTTTTTCATATTTGATTTCAAAGACAAAATCAACTCAGAGAATTGGAAACCAAACAGACTTGTCCTTTCCAAGTTTATTAGTTTAGGTGAGGAGAGAAAAACTTTTCACAGAGTCCATGTATCCTCAGGATACACCTCTCTCCTACCACTGCTCACCAAACTAAATACGTCACCATTGAACTATTGATAATCATCATTTGTATTCGTCTGCAATGCTGCAGTGCTGTTACCAAGCGATAGCACTCACCATTATTGGCAGGATAAATGTCATTCCGTGGATACCACCCTCCCCCCACACATACCGGGTAACATGCTGCGAACATCCTTCACAAGGACCAAGCGGAGGAGAAATGCATCATTTACATGAATGCAATGGCAGGCGCCTTTGCATGAGAGATGAGTTAATGGCAACGTTCATAAAACTTTACAAAACTCAAACTGGCACTGGAGATGATTAATGGCGCTTTCCTTAATGGAAGTAAACATCCATTCAGTTGAATGGTTTCCCGAGAAGTCCTGGTAATAAATTTTAAATTTTGAAATGGTATTCCAAATGATTGGAAATAAATGAAGGAATTAAAATTTATGGCATTTTTATACCCTCCACCATACTATGGAGGGTATATTAATTTTGTCATTACGTCTGTGGAAATCACCTTAGCTTCCGAACGAATTGAAGTAGATTGATAAAATTTTGCTCAAATGTATGTTATGTCTGCAAGACTTTTTGTATTGAAAATGGGCTATGTAGGTCCACGTTTTGGTATAGCCCCCATATAACGATACCTCCCGATATTCGGTATTTTGATGATTTTAGCGAATTTATTCACCGGAATTGTTTCAAATTTGGTATTTGAAGTTCAAAACGGATACTACAGCCTACGACCTCACGATATTCGGTATTTTGATGATTTTAGCGACATTATAACCGATTTTTTTTAAGTTTCGCATTTGAATATTGTAATGGCTTATTACAAATGTTACCTTGGGGTCGTCGTATAGACCCCAATATAATAGCTGCATTCGGCATTTTTAAGATTTTAACAGAATTTTAAACGGATTTTATTGTTTTTGAGAATTGTCATATTCGTTCCAAATGGTGGAGGGTATTCAAAGTTCGGCCCGGCCGAACTTACAGCTTTTTTACTTGTTATAATTGAAGTGGGAAAAAGTAGATCCTCACTCCATGTTCTCAATTTGACTTCTTTGAGGGGGTCAACTTTTGTGAAGCAGGTGACCAGTGGGACATGTATCGATTACAAGTAACGTGCATCCTTGTTTGACCCATATGGTCCCTTCCTTTGGGATCAACTATCCTATATTGTACTAGTACGTTCCAACAGTTCGTGTTAGATCTTTCCATGCACCTTGAAAAGGAGGTTATAATAAATCTTGTCATTCCGTTTGTAACACCTCTAAATATTCTTCATAGACCCCATAAATTATACATTTTCATGATTAGCATAAAATTTAACGTTGAAATTACGATACAGCCCCCATTATTTGACGTAGAGCTTTTAAATTCGGCACAGTAGTTTGTGTAGTCTCTAGGATAGTATGGTATTCCATGTTTTGGAATAGACCGCTAATGGCAGCTCCCGATATTCGATATTTTATTTGCAGCAAATTTGTCTAAAAAGTTGTTATTTGTAGTTCGTTATGGGTTCTAAGTCTAATGGTGGAACAATGTATATATAGGCCCAGGTTTTCGTATAGCCCCATACAAGGGTACCTCCCGATATACACGGATTTTTCTAAAAATTGATATTTGTAGTTTCTTATGGGTTCTTGCTTCTTTGACAGAATATTGGTTATATAGGTCCACGTTTTCGTATAGCTCCCATATAACGGAACTTCCTGATATTTGCCATTTTGAAGGTTTTACCCACATTTTCCACGGATTTGTCTAAAAATTGGTATTATTACTTTCTTAGGGGTTCTAGCTTCGGTGACAGAATATTGGTTATATAGGTCCATGTTTTCGTATAGCCCTCATATAACGGTACTTCCCGAAATTTGGCATTTTGAGGATTTAAGCCATATTTTTCACGGATTTTTCTATAAATTGGTTTATGTATTTTGTAATAGGTTCTAGCTCTGGTGGCAGAACATTAAATTTCTAAGTCCATGTTTTCCTATAGCGCACATATAACGGTACCTTCGGATATTCGGTACTTTGACAATTTATGCCACATTTTCTAATAGATTTGTGTGAAATTTGGTGTTGGAAGTTCGGCCAGGCCGTTCTTGTCCTTGTCCTTTTACTTGTTAGTACTCGAAGTGTACAATATGTTAAGTTTTGACAAAAATTTTGAATCCAAACCTCAGACTTTTTAGGTTTTCTATATCATCCAGGTTTTTTCCTTTTCCAAACAATTTTTCATTCAAAATTTTTCATTTTAAAGTTATTTATTGGAGGTTATTGGAGGTTTCACAATGGACCCCATATTCAATTTTTTTTGTACAAAACTATTACAACGTCTTCATATGTAAGCCTTAGAAACCAAAAGTTTCACACTACTCCCACATCCCACTACCCTATCCCATTACCCAATATCTCTCCGCCCTCGACACCAACAGTGATCCAAAATTAGTACTATTCAGTATTTTCCAACCACTACAAAATATAAACATAGGCTTCAATATTAAATTTCGGGATTCGAGCTCTATAAATTCACTCAATACCAAATGTAGTAAATTTTAGTATATCAGGTATCGAAATATAAAATTTAACGGTTTCAGCTATATAAAAGTACTAAATGGTACTAAATTTGGTATTGATGAAGACCAAATTTAGTACCATTTAGTACTTTTCGTACAACTATTCCAAAATAATCTCCATATCTCAATTCCAGATACCAACAGCGATCTCAATATAAAAATTTAAGGATTCCAGGCCTATCCCTTCACCCAATACTAATTTTAGTACCATTTAGTAACATTCGTTCAAATATAGAACGCATTTCCAAACCACAGCCAAATATAAAACACAAATTCTATCAGTAATCTAAATATCTAATGTCAGAACTTTATTTCTATCACTCAACTCAATACCAAATATAATACCATTCAGCACTTTTCGTATGATTATAGCAGACATTTCCGAAACCACATCCGTTTGTTATGGATACACGTGAACAGCGACCTTAATACCAAATTTCAGATTTTAAGCATTACCTGTTCACCCATTACCAAATTGTACCAAATATGGTACTATTTAGTACTTTTCGTGCAATTATAGTACACATTTCCAAAACATCATCCAAATCTCAATCCCAGACAGTAACATAGACCTCAATACCTCCCTTCACCCAATACCAAATTTAGTACCATTTAGTATTTTTCTTACAAATATAAGATGCCTTTCCATATCTCCTCCACATCTCAATTCAAAATACCCACAGAATATAAAATTTCAGGATTTTTTTCTATCTCTTCACCCACCTCCATATGTCCAGGCTACACATGAACAGCGTCCCTAATACCAAATTTCAGATTTCGAGGACTATCAGTTCGCCCAACTACAAATTGTATCAGATATAGTAATATTCAGTACTTTTCGTGCACTCGTAGCAGATATTTTGAAAACCACCGCTTTCTCACAAATCCCAAAACACAAACTTTTCAAACTATCAGCTCCGTTCATCGAAAGCGGAATTTTACCAAATTTAGTACTATTTAGAGCAGTTTTTACACTTAGAACACATTTACAAAACCGCCCTCTTATATCAACCTCATTGCCAAGAATTTATTCTCATACAAAATTTCAAGATTTTACTACTATCCAAATTTAGCGAATTTTAGTACTTTTGGTACAAGTATTGTTAGAATCCCAGCCATTGTTAGAATCCCTCCCACTCCAAATTTCAGATTGCCTACTCTATTACTTCTCCAATTACTAGAGTTAAAACTATTTAATACTTTACGTACTTTTTAGTACGTATTTCCAAATCGCCCTCCTTGTATCA